GAGTGATTTATGCTGTTTTGATGTGTCTGAAATGTGTACACCAGACTGTCCTACATGTTGAATTTGGAAGAATATAAATGGTGTGTGTTTAGTAACCTTTTCATGGAGCTTGTCAAATGAAAACCGATAATATGCCTTGACTCTACTTGTTATGAATAATTTCTTGAAATAAATCCTTTTTCTGGATTTTATCTTCTGTGTTGCTTGTCTTGTTATTTACTGATCAATGAATTACTTTTGACACTCACCTTGCATCTGCTTTCTGAGAGACTGATGTTTATCAGTTGTAAGCTGCTTGCGGTTTGAGTCGGCAAAAATATCCCCACATCTTACAGGTTTTTAAAAAGCAATCTGTACCACTTTACAATAACTTCTCATTTGTTAACATTAGTTACTATTGGTTAATATGGTTATTGCATGGGCTAACAATGAGCAATGTATTTTTACAGCATTTGTCAACCTTTGTTAATATTACTTAAAATGTTCATGTTAGATCACAGTGCATTGAATAATGTTAACAGATACAACTTTCGATATGAATGTTTTAAATGTTGAGATTAACATTAAGATGAGTAAATGCTCTAGAATTGTTTATGATGCCTCAATAAGAACTGTGGTCCACACCAAACAAGCTGTAGTCTCTCCTGTAGCCTAAGTGTCGTCATTTGAAATGCAAGATTCGTGTAAATTGTCGTTTTAGAAAAGTGATTGTCACTTGGGTAAATATTTATGCAATCGAGATGAATGATTGGAATTTAACGATAGGCAAGCTTTAGTTCATTCACACTTCACAAAAGTTGCCAGTCCATTTTTGTTTGCAAATGCCAGCAAGCATTTGTTGAAACGGTTGCTCTCTCTGCAGACACAAGGCCCCTCTGAAGGATTAGTTGGTTTTATTTACCTGCTCCGAGGAATGCTTTCGCCCGGTCACTTTTGTGTCTGTGTAAATGATCAAGGTCAGGGCTGAGAGTGAGCCTCACCAACAGCTCTAAAAAGCAGCAAAACCTGCAGCACAATGAAGTCTCAGAAAATGGTAGTGGAATTTCTATTCGTGTTGCAACAGAGTTCAAAAGCTCACTCACTAGTTAACACTCTTCAAAGTGTCCGTGCACACA